CTTCTTGTGATGAGACCCTTTCTCTGACAAAATGTCGATCAACTTCGATATGTTTAGTTCTGTCATGCTGCACCGGATTGTGAGGTATATTAATAGCCGCCTGATTATCGCAATACAGCATCAAGGGCTTCTCATAATCAATACCCAACTCTTCAAGTAGTGACCTCAGCCATAAGATTTCAGCTACTCCATTAGCCATTGATCTGTATTCAACTTTGGCACTAGAGCGAGAAACAACACTTTGTTTCTTACTCCTCCAAGAGACAAGGTTTCCTCCTACAAGGGCACAATATCCAGAGGTAGACCTCCTGTCATCAACACACCCAGCCCAATCAGCATTTATATAGACCTCCACCTTCATGTGATTATTATTCTTGAACAGTATACCTCTACCTGGACATCTCTTCAAGTATGCTAATRTTCTCTCAACTGCAAGAAGATGAGTAGTTCTAGGGGAATGCATGTACTGGCTGATAACACTGACTGCACAACTGATGTCTGACCGTGTGAGACAGAGATATAGGAGCTTTCCAACCAACCGTTGGAACATAGCTTTGTCTTCAAGAGGCTCTCCACCCTCTGCACTGATCTTGTGATTTTGTTCAATGGGTGTATTTGTAGGCTTGACACCTAACTTTCCAGTTTCTGCCAACAGATCTAGAACATACTTCCTTGAGAAATAAATATCCCATGTTTAGATCTAGCAACCTCAATACCCAAAAAATATCGCAGTGCACCAAGATCTTTCACCTCAAACTCTTGGTGAAGGAGCTGTTTGAGGGACTCAATCTCATTATTATTATTCCCTGTCACTACAATATCATCCACATATATAGCAAGCAAGGTCAAGGAAGAGTTCACTCTTTTAACAAACAATGTATGATCTGATTGGGCCTGTACATAGCTGGATTTTCCAAGGGCTAGTCTGAATCTATCAAACCAAGCTCTAGGGGACTGCTTTACTCCATACAATACCTTATTCAGTCGACAAACCTTCTTACCTGTCTCTGCATCATAAAATCCAGGGGGCAACTGCATGTAGACTTCTTCCTGTAAGTCTCTGTTGAGCAAGAGCAAGAGAAGAGAGGAGAGGAGAAGAGAGAAGAGAGGTGAGTCGAGAGACTGAAAGCCCTCCAGAACTTAGGGGGCGAATGAAAGAAATTATTATTTATACTAGTCCAGTCAAACAATATAAACAGAAGTGAAATTACAACAGTACCCTTGTGGTACTAAACCTGAATACACAAACAACTGTCAACACTCCCCCTCAAGTTGAAGCATAGATATCAATCATGCCCAACTCGTCACAAAGATCATGATGTCTGGAAAGGTTTAAACCCTTTGTAAAGATGTCTRCAAGCTGGTTCTCAGAAGTGACATAGGGGGTACACACTTCGCCTRTGATAACTTTCTCTCTGATAAAATGCTTGTCAACTTCGATGTGCTTTGTTCTATCATGTAGCACCGGATTGGCAGCAATGCTTATAGCTGCTTTGTTATCACAAAATAGAATTATAGGTTTGGCCACTGGGAAACCCAACTCCCCCAACAAATTCTTTATCCACATGCCTTCAGCAACCCTGTGGGCCATAGCACGATATTCAGCTTCAGCATTGGATCTAGTCACCACATTTTGCTTTTTACTCCTCCATGTAACAAGGTTGCCTCCTATAAAGGTGTAGTAGCCACTGGTAGACTTTCTGTCATTTTGGGATCCAACCCAATTTGCATCTGTATAAACTTCAACTTTCAAATGTTTGGGCTTTTGAAATAACAAACCACTACCCGGATACTTCTTTAGATATCGGAGGATTCTCTCTGCTGCTTCAAGATGGGAAGACCTAGGAGCATGCATGAA